AGAGAGAGAGAGAGAGAGAGAGAGAGAGAGAGAGAGAGAGAGAGAGAGAGAAAGAAAGAAACGGACATACAAGCAGACACAGACGGAGAGACAGACTCGGAGAGATAAAAAATAGCCAGACAGATTTTTAAAAAAAGACAGAAACATGCAAGATGGCGCACACATGAGAGAAGAAAGACAAACAGACTGACTGGTAGTCAGGTAGACTGACATACAGAAAGACAGACAGAAAGGCTGATGTACGGAAAGACAGACAGACACATAGGCAGACAAAAAGATAGACAGATAAACAGGCAGACATATAGCATTTCAATGGGCTGACAGGCAGGCAGGCTGACATACAGAAAGACAGACAGCCTGACAGACAGCCTGACAGACAGACACATAGCCAGACAGACAGCCAGACAGACACATATGCAGGTTGACAGACAGGCAGACACACAAACAGACAGACAAACAAACAGAAAAGCATATAGACAGACAGACAGACTGACAGACAGCCCGACAGCCCGACAGACAGACAGGCAGACAGACAGACAGACAGACAGACAGACAGACAGCATTCCTCTCGGCACCCCACACATGCTCAGGGCAAGCCCCGGCACACCCGCGACTCTCACCATGCACACCCACACACACACACACAGCTAGCCCCCTGTCTCCTGGTCACGCCGGTCTCACACAGCCCACAGGCCCAGCCCTGGGTGGACCACAGAAGGTAGAGTATCATGTACATCATGTCTTTGCTCCGGGCTCTCACCACCCACGTCAGGAACCACCACCTCCTCCTGCACTGTTCTCTCTCTCTCTCTCTCTCTCTCTCTCTCTGTGTGTGTGTGTGTGTGTGTGTGTGTGTGTGTGTGTGTCTGTCTCTTTCTTTCTCTCGCTCTCTCTCTCCGAGTTTCCCTTTCTTTCTGGATCTGGCCATGACAGCCTCCCAAACCCATACCCCTAGCCCACACAACCCATGAGCTACATAGTCATAGTGCATCATACCTTTATCCCAATAAAATGCACCATTCCTTCACCCCAATAAAGTGCACCACGTCTTTACCCCAATAAAGTGCACCACGTCGTTACCCCAATAAAGTGCACCATGCCTTCACCCCAGGCGTACACCATCAACCCCCACGCACACTGTCTTTGCACTAAGTAGTCTCCACCCACCAACATGCCTACACTCACTCACTCGGAAACTTTCTTCACTGCCCCAGACCCACCGCGCCCATGCTCACAGCAAACCACGTTATTACACAAAATGCTCTCCCCTTACTTTAGGTTACAGTTTACGGCAGTTGTAATACAGTAAGTAGATCAAACAAGTGTCGAAGATCAGAGATGGTACAAGAGAGTAACCAAACACCAAAAAAGGAGGAGAGATAAGGACGATAGATGTTTGATTGGAAAGAAGGAGCAAACCACATCACAATTTACTCCGCACTGCTCATGCGCAAGAAGAAGAGGAAGAAGAAGAAGAAGAAGAAGAAGAAGAAGAAGAAGAAGAAGAAGAAGAAGAATTCATGGCATTTATATAGCGCTCGACCCCGCTTAAAGTACACAGGCCCATGTATCATCTACATATTATACATATATTATATGAGAAAGTTCTTCACTTTGGTTGCCTAAAACTTCCGAACTACTTAACTTTCAAATTCGAAAAAAAATAACAGTGGTTCAGAATCATTTAAAGGGTGCACAGTTATATATTAAGAAGTTTGAAGTCACTTTAGTTTAATTTTTAGTTTTTTCATTAGTTTAGATCTAATCTGGGGAAAGTCCGTCTTCTAAGACGCCATTGTAAACAAGTGAGGCTTCCGTTCACAAGGAGAGCGCACTGCTTCCACAATAACTCGACAATAGTACTGGGCGGATAGATTACCGATTGTTGAAAGCTAGGAATCGACACCGAACCCAATTTCTTACTTTCTATTGATGTGATTTTTCCGGTGGTTACTTGGTTGGCTCCGAACATCTTCAGGATT